TTTTTTAAAAGTCAATTTTTCCTTTATTAAACTCTGAGGATGATGAATAGGTACAGACCATGTTTCCTGTCCTGTGTACTGTCTGAGCAGAAGATTTCTGCTTCTCTTTTTCTGTGCCTTGTTTAAAATCAAAAGTGAACAGGTATCAGGGTGTTACTCAGGACACCAGACTGGCATGACATTTGATTAGTTCTGCAGTAGGAAAGACGGCTGAGCCTTGACTCCTGGGATTCCCAAAGTGACTCATGCCTGCAGATTAGCTTCATTGAATTGTCCCAAACCTTGCAAGAAAATGATCTGGGTCTGGATTTTCTTAGTTATACTTTCTGTACTTTTCTCAATCAAGACTGTTTCTTTTGAACTATACACATACTTTGTTTCCTACGTCTGTCTGTAAATAATCCTATCTTGAATATATTACAAAGTCACATCATAAAGACTAGACGTAGAATAGATTTTCACTTATTTTCTACATTACAGTTAAATATCAGGCCTTAGAGCCATATCTCTTCTTGCACATATGTGGGCTTTTAAAAATTTAATTAAAACTTAATTTATACCCTAAACATGTAAGTGACAGTTTTCAACATACTTTTATACCTATTGAACTTAGTGTGATGTATCTTCAATATTTGTATTGGAAAAGTAGAAGAGACAATTTCTTTAAAATTTAAATCTGGTCACTTCCGTTGTCTGTCAACAAGCATATGTAAGCTTCAGCTTAAAATGCAGGGTTGTGTAAACGTTGCATTTAGTTAGGAAGCAGGCACATATCAGTGCCCCGCTGTGCCCCCATCCCCGCCACAGTGCTGCCCCCTGCTGGACAGGAGCTGCGCGGCTGCCAGGGCAGTTCCAGGGTGAATGGAGCTCAGAAGCAGAACATCTCTGGAATTTGAAAACTCTAACCTCCACCCTTTCCTCTCTGTTTTCTTCAGTTCCTTTATTTTTCTGTGCAAGATCAGATCCTTTATTCCTGTTTAATAGGGGAATCACCAGCAGAGGAGGCACTGGCCATTTGGCCCTATTCTGAATGAATTTAAAATTCTATCAGAGGTTTTTAAATAGAATTAGGCAATTTTTAGGTGAAAAGAAATGTGTGTGTCTAAATCCTTGGCAGTCACCTGACACCGTTCTGCCTTAATGTAGCCATCCTTAAAATTGGCCTGAAGTGGACTTTGTTTATGTCCTCGCATTTTATGAAAGATTTGGGGAGGAAGGTTCATATGGGGGGAAAGGTGCATGGTGCTCACATGCTGATGTTTATAAAGGAATATCTACTTTTCCCATATTCCAACCAGACGTTCACTAACCCCTCTCCCTGTTCCCTTTTTTGTGAAGGTTGGATCATTTTAGACTGATGAAGTTCTCAGCACTCACCATGTCTCCCTTTAAATCCTTCATGTCATTAATGAAAACTGGCTTTCTCCTGCATACAAAATTAATGCTCACGACATGCTAACACATAATGATAAAAGGCAACTCAGTATTTGTCAGACACTTAAATTGTTCATTTAACCATTGCTGGCTAATAGAAGGTAGATGACCTCTTGTGTCTGGGAAGCTGAGACCCATGTCTCATGCCTGGTGGGCTGGGAATCTTTCGGGGGAGGAGTGGAAAAGGGGAGATAAGAATTCAAAAAGCTTTAAAACAAATGAGGTGTCCAAAGTTCATCAAATTCATCTGAGCATTAAAATTTGCTAGTCCAACCGGGGAGGAGGGCTCCTGTGAGAGGCAGAGAGTTATTAGAAAATGTCATATGTTTCAGAGTGGGAATGCAAAGAAAACAAAAAGATTCGGAACATCAAAACACAGTAAAAAATAAGCCAAACATGAATTTTGAAGTAAAATAATACTGACAAAATTAATATTTTCACTAATTTTGAAATTCGTGAGTATCAGGCATTTTCTTGGAAAATAGCGGTGTGCTGTGAGACATGGAAATTAGATTGTAAAGTTCACTATTAGCAAAAAATTGTGCAGTTAAGGCACATTTGGATTATTTTGTCATTTGAAGGTTTCTGGGATTTTTTTGAATAACAGTAACTCTTGGTTATTTAACATTTTCTGTGAGCCAGGTTGTGAGCTACGAATGCAGATATTTCATTCAGACTTCTCAGCAGCTTCCGAGGAGCACGCGTAGTGATGGCCCAGAAATGGATGCTGGTGAGGCCAGTTAGCTCTCCTGATGCTGCAGCAGAGAAAGGCTCATTCCCAGGTCCGGGGAGCTCCCGAGCCTGTCTTCTGTCCATCCCCGCGTGGCCGGCGGGAGGGCAGGCAGGTGGCAGGCCAGGGAGAGCGGCGGCCTTCTGCCCACTCAGTCCCAGAAAGGGACCCACATTTTACACTTGTTACCATTGTTGAATGCTCAGCCCTTAGTGTTTCATAAAGTATAAAAGCACTTTTTAGCGCCTGTTAGAATACTTACAAAACACTCTCTATGAAGCATAGTTAATACCACTGATTTTCAAAGGAAGCGATAAAAGTAATGGCTTTGCCCCACGAGAAGCATAGGGATGACTTATTTTAAGCTGATCTTCACTCAGTAAACAGCGTAATTTCAAAATGCAGAGAGCCAAAATGAACCGAAATACAAGCAAAATAAAGCTACAGTCATAGAGGAATATTTTAACAGACCTTTTCTGCCATGGGTAGGGAAAAAAAGGCTCAAAAAAATCAGTAAATATATACATTTGAACAATGACTAAAAAATGACTTTAGTAAGCATATTTAGCATATCACACCCAATGGCTACAAAATACACCTTCTTCTCAGTCATATACAGAACACTAAAAAAATCATTTAAGGAAAACTATTAGGCCATAATGCTTTCTCAACAAATTTTAAAAGGTTGAAATCATACAAAGTGCTTTCTTTGAGCACAGTAGAATTTGGCCAAAAGTCAATAAAAATAACCAGAGGATAATCTCACAAATATAATGTCAAGGGAAAGAAGGCAGACACAAAAGAATTGTATTAATTATGGGTGCATATTAAGGTGGAAAATGAGCAAAGAAAGATAAAATGATTACCATAAAAGTCAGGATGGTTGCGCGCAGGAGGGAGGGGGGCTTGTTCAGAGCCCTGGGGTACAAGTTCTTCATTTTATTATCAGAAATGGAGTGACTCTCCTTATGTGCTTATTCTTCCAGATAAGCTTAGCGTGATGTTGTCCAATTCCCTAAAAATGTCACTTGGATTTTGATTAGAGGAGTATTAAGTTCATAGATTTCCTCTGGGATTATTTGCACCTTTGAAATACTGAGTCTTCCCATCAAGGGATATGATGCGTGTTTCCAGGTACCCAGGTTATGTTTGTTGTTCCTGTTTTGTTTTCAAGATTCCGTCGAAAAATGTTAGAGCTTTCTTCACACAGACGCCCCATTTCATAGGAAGTGCACTCCGTAGTATCATTATTAAGTTTGCTTCTGTTCTAAACGAGGTTGCGCTCATATTTTCTAACTGGTTATGACTGGTATGTAGGAAAGCTATAAATTTTTTTTTTTTTTACCTGCTTGCTTTATTAGTTTTAATTCCAAATGTTTATTTTTAAATAATAACTACTGAGTTTTTCTTTTGGGGTTGGAATAGTGGTCAATTTTTAGTCATTTTTGAATTTATTTCCTCTTCCTTGTGGAGAATATGAGGTCTAGCGGCGCCTATGGAGGTGACTCCAGGCCACACAACTGAACCGCGGAGGAGCTGGGGTTTTAATCCAGTTACGCCTGACTGAAAACTGTCTATCCTGGGATTATATTTTCCTTGATAAATTTAATTAAATAAATTATATAAAGATATTATGCTATAGAGATGAATGAGGTAATGAATGTAAAACCGCCTTGAAAGATTCCAGGAATATAAAGGAACTCTGTACCCTAATGCAGCAATTTCACGGTGAAATGGCAGGTAGGAGGCTGTTAGGAGAAAGGCTAAGACCTGGCACTGCGTTTCAGTAGTTGAGGAGTCACAGAGCTGTTTTGTTTATAAAACTTTTGAGATGTTTCTCTGAACATCTATTCCATACTTTAGGAAGCAGGTATCATCCCATTGGGACTTTGGGGATTTTAAAATAGTAAGTGGCATTTAGTGAGCCACTGAAGTCATGACAGAGAACACATTTAAGGTTTTTTTCAGTGCTGACCATTTCCAGACTAGTTCTTAGGACTAAAGGACTGGAAAGTTCCTTTTTTCACTCAACACCTGTTTTGCTTTGTACCTTTGAAGTGCCTGCCCTTCTGTGGGTGCTGAGATTAAATAGCAGCTAGAAAGACAGACAGATTACAAACAAGCAGCCAAGTCCGCACGTTGAGAGAAATGCTGTAAAGAATGATGTGACATGCATGCTAAGAGGGGCCTGGCCCTTGGAGAGGACACAGCCTGTACAAGGTCCCGAAGCAGGTCCTCAGGAACCTGCCAGAAGCAGGGCCGCTGGAGGTCAGGGTGAAGCCAGTAAGGACAAGCTGAGGTTGGCTCTGTGGGTGAGGACCATGGAGACCATAGAAAGGAATCTGGGGTTCATTCAAGGAGGAATGGGGCAGCTGCCAAGTGGGCGCAGACAGTGGCGGTGGGAGGCCCGGCAGGGGGCAGGTGCCGCAGACACGCGCTCTCACCCTGGGCACTGGGGCGGCGGGTTGCACCTTAGCCTGTCCGGCCTCCCCCACTCGGTGCCGGCAGTGGCCCTCCTGTCACCTGCCACACGTTTACAGGTGTCCCGCGGGCGGCGGGAAGGTGCGCCCAGACCTGAGGTGCGCGCAGGTGGGAGGGTATTTGCCAGATCGCCTGGGGGTGGTGGGCTTCACGCCCCTTCGCTGCCAGGCTTTTCAGGAAAACATACCGTTGCATTTTCTAAGAACCTTAAAATTCACCGCACCAGTCCTTGTTCTCAGTCAAGCCTCAGGCTTCCAGACGCTGTGTCTGCTGTGCGTCCTGTGCATAGAGAAGGCGCCCCCTGCACACACCCCCTCTTACACCCGGAGAGTGACAGGGTGCTTGGTCTCCCCAGGAATCCTCAAGTGGGTGAAACTAATCGACAACTTTGAAGGAGAATATGACTACGTGACCAACGAGGGCCCCGTGTTCACGTTCAAGACCAACCGCCATTCTCCCAACTACCGCCTCATCAACATCGACTTCACGGACCCCGAGGAGGCCAAGTGGAAGGTGCTGGTCCCCGAGCACGAGAAAGACGTCTTAGGTAAGGCCCCCTGCTGCTGCACTCAGTTCTGGGTGGTGACGCCTGCAAACTGGTGCATCTCTCATGCTCTGGTGGCTGGTCCCTTAGCCTCCAATTCTGGGGAACTAAGCATCAAAATGGGCAACCAAGCATTTACTATATGACGCGTTTGCAGTTGGCCCCTGCTGTGCAGGGCCGTCATGAACACTGTGAAGGTATGAATCCTGACTTCCAAAAGTACTGCTTTTGAAAAAGTGTGTTTCAGCCCCCTTGTGTGGTTATTGTCTGATAATAATCACGAACATTTAATTTTTTAAACCATTTGGATTCAGAATCCTTAGCTTAGCTTTTGAATAACTTTGGGCTGCTGGTATTATGCCCATTCTAGATCTTAGAGTGGATGTCCATTCCTCTGGCTGGAAAAGAAAAGAGACTATTGTCAGGTTTAACTGGAATCCAGTGACTGGCTGCTGTGCACCCTGAGCTGCACGGCATCTTGGAGCCTCCCTTCTGTGTCAGTTGTGCCCCTCATTCCCCTTATTCATCTTCTCTGTGATTTTCCAAAAAAGTGCTTTATCTGAGGCAGGGCGACTGTTTCCCAGAAATGATATGCTGCTTCAGAAATTACTTATTGCCTGAAACCTGGATTTATTCAACAGGGCTCACTACTTTTGCTATGTTTTTTTACTTGAAAGGGGGGTCCAGTACAAGCCAATAAAGAGTTTACTCCTTGGAGATGAATGTCTGCTGATGGGTTGAATGAGGATAAAATCTAGGGCCAGCCCAAAACGTGAGGGTGTAAGGTGTATAATTAGGAAAAAATTGCTTCTGAGATTTGCCGAGAGGCCCTGTCTCGGGGGAAGCCGTCCTATCCTGTGCTTTCAGTGAAGTAAAGTCCAGGTGTTGGAGTTGGGCAGATCCAGGTTTCTATCTGGAAAAGGTGAGGGCGCTTTCTTGGCCCCTGGGACAGTGCGCTCTGCGCCTGGCCCGGGAAAGCTGGGAGGGGAGGGGAAGGTGGGCCGAGGACCAGGGCTGACTCTCCTGACAGTACCCCTGCTCAGCGCTTGGCCCTGGAGGAGGCGCTGCTCTGGGCATATGCACGAGAGTCTCCTCAGCCCCTGGCATCTGGCTGTGCTCCCCACTCCCCTCTGGGCAGTTTGATCGGATGGGGCCCAAGACAACCCCTTGCCTGCTTTTCCCTGCAGACCCCACATCTGCAGCTCTGGGGCTGCAGCCCATCCCCGACTCTTGGCCAGGCTGGCCCACCGAGTGAGCCCTCCTGCCTTCTGGGTGTCCCACCCACAGACCCTTCAGCCTCCAGGCTTGAACGAGGCACCGGCGCCCTGGCCCCCGTGAGGATGGCTGCCCCACATGGGGATGGGGACTTACCGCCCTCGCCCACGAAATCCCTTCGCCTGTCTCCTCAAAACCTTCCATCCACTCTCTGACCTCACTTATATTTGGATGCGGGGTCCACAAATCAAGGAACAGGTTTTCCGCCGTATCCTTTAGCATCTTCATGTGCGGAACCTGGTCACAGTGACTTGGGTAGCCTGGTGGCTTCTGTCCAAACTGAGACAGAAAGGCCCCCCACGAGGGTGGTAGGAGCCCCATGAAGTGCATCCCAAGTGCCACATGAATGACCTCAGGCATTGCTGGGTCCATGTGGGGCTTCCTGCAAAATGCCCTGGGCGTTGGGTTTTCAGTGCAAGCCAGTTGGGAACAGTGAGTCTTGGGTAGGGAGCTGTCCAAAATGTCAATATTTCCCAAGGCATGTGAGTGTCCTGCCTTTTAAAGCCCAACAGAAGCAGTTCTAACTATGCCTTAAGGTGACATCCTATTTCACTCAAGGATCTAATGAAATGCAAATCGATGCTCAGAGATTGTCGGGGGTGGGGGGGTGTGATATATTTTTATAACCTTCCTTCTGAAAGGTTTTAATCTCTTTAGACTGGAAAGGGGAAACCTTCAGGATTCACTGGAGCTCATCAATTCAGAGAGAAGCATAGCTGAATTTACTATCATTAGCACAGAATACCCCACTGAGCATAAAAACTAGAGATGAGTCACGAAGCAGTTATAAAGTCAAAGCTTTTATTAATGACGGCATGCAAGTCCCTCTGTAATTCTGATGTGCTCGTAGTTGGCACAGATTGATTATTCTTTGACAGAAATAATGTGCTTCACTTTTGCCCACACTTTCTTAAAACATGAAGGCCACATAAAATATGTTGCTTGATTGAGGCTCTTTAAAAAAAAAAATGATATTGGCGAATGAGTAGATTACCTTCAGATGTAAGCGTTCTTTATTTCCCCACTGGAGGACGAGCTCTCTGTGGCAGCGTGAGCAGCCCAGCCAGGCTGCAGCCCTTGATGTCCCTGAGTTCCCTCTTGTCATTGTCTTGTTCGCATTGATAATTGATGCTGGTAAGTGTGAACTGACAGTAAGCGTGAACTACTGGTTTGTTGCATTATGAAAATAAGCAGCTGTCAGGCACCCCGCACCATGAACCCCAAGCAGGGCTTGCCTTTCGGGGTCGGAGCTGCACCCTGCAGCCTGTCCTCGCCCCCATGCCCGGCCGCAGCTCTGCCCTCTGCCGTCCTTGCTGCAGGCTGACCTTGTCCCAGACGGGACTGTGCTGCACCTGCCCTCCTGTTTTCCCCTCCTGTGGCCTCGCTCCCCTGTGCTCGCCCAGCTGTGCCCCCGACGGCTCTGTTGCTGATGGTGCAGCCCTGTCCTCGGGACCCTCCTTTCTCGGCTGCCTCTCTGCACCCCGGTCGCCACGTCCTGGAGGTTCTTCTTGGGCCTGTCATTCCTTTCCTTTCCCCCCACACACTGCCCGGCGGGGTGTGGGCTGACGGGCTGCACACAGCAGCATTCTTCCCGGCCTCCCACACCTCCGTTCTCCACATCCTGCATTGCTGTCATGTTCAGTTATGTCCCCCTCTGGTCCAAGTGGTAGCTCCTGGCTGAGAGATGAGAGCTAAGTTCCCCACCGCCTGGCTCACCAAATCCCCATCCGACTGTCAGGCCACCACCAAATGACTTTTTTCTCCTTGAAAACGGATCTCTGGCTCTTGTCTTTGCCCTTCTCCTTCCTTCTTTCCTTCCATCCCGCTGCTGGGTCTCATTCATCTCTCTCTGCTTGTCCCCAGCGCCGGCGTTCATACCTAGAGTCTCCCCACCACCTCGTCCCCCAGAGCCATCCCGTCCCTGACACCACCCCAGGCACCCCCATCCAGCCCGCGAACCCCACACGCAGTTCCGCATTTGCTGAAGGGTTCTCACTTGCTTCGGGATCCTGGCCAACCACTCTTAGCTTCGTTTTACACGTTACAACTTATATTTTTCTATGCTTTTGTCTTAAGGGCAGAAGTGACATTGGTCTCCTGCTTGTCCCTCCAGCACCTTGCAAGGTGCTCGTACCAAGAGCTTAGTGCATTTTTGTCAAATAAACAACCCTGACATGGAATATGGCTTATTTTTGTTGTTTTGCTTCTCATGTCTTCTGTAGCTTGATGTGGGGCACGAAATAGCTAAGTGGGGTCATTATTAGGACACACATTATGTCATTAGAAGCCCCTGGCCCAAGGTGGAGGATATTTTGTCTCCTCTAGATGTGACAGTAACAATCATTTATTAAGGGAATATGCTGGAAACTAGACCCATGATGAAATCCAATTATAATAACCACTCTGCAGGCCTCGTTGCTGCAGAGCACGATGATTGGCTCAAGAACGATTGCTCAGTGAGGTGTGGTTTTCTCTGTTCAAAACCATGTCCCATTTGTCTGACCTCATCCTTCCAGAATGGGTGGCTTGCGTCAGGTCGAGCTTCCTGGTGTTATGCTACCTCCACGACGTGAAGAACATCCTGCAGCTCCACGACCTGGCCACTGGCGCCCTCCTCAAGACCTTCCCACTCGAGGTCGGCAGCGTCGTGGGCTACAGTGGTCAAAAGAAGGACACCGAGATCTTCTATCAGTTTACTTCCTTTTTATCTCCAGGTGAGAGTCTTTTCACCAGGGTTGGTGAGTTTAAAAATCAGAGTAATGTGTGAGTTTCTCTTGGGAAATGAAAATATAATAATAATGCTGTTATTGAAAATCATATGTGCTATCTACAGCCAAAATTACTTAAAGGAAATAAAACAGTAAGACACTCAGAGCAAAGGGAAATGTGAACCCCTAAAATTCCACTCTGGTTAACCTTATATCCTGGGTCTCTGTTCTGGGGACAAGACCAACTGTGTTCAGGGTTTATTTCAAAAATCAGTATAAACAAGTATAGCCTTTGACTGAGCGTTTGGTCTGCGTGTCCCAGGACACACGCAGTGCATATAACTAAAGGCTTAAAACAGAAGTCTCTAGTCACATCCAACATGAAAACCTTGATTTCTAAAGCAAACAGAATAAATTCTGCCCTTAGACTGAATAAAGTATAATTCTAAAAGTATGATCTTAATATCGCATTGGAAATAAATTGTTACTTGGTTCTAGTAAGAACCCTTATCAATTGTGACTCTGTTTCACGGATCAGTTTCCCTCCAAATAATTTTCTTTTTAAGTTGGTTATACTCACTTTGCTTTATTTTGGTTTTCCCTGCTTTTCCGCTTGGCTATACCGCTTCACTGCAGCCAGGGCCGTCCACATCCTCCTATTTGCCCCCAGAGCCTGGCTCCGTCGGCAGTGTGCCGTTGACCGAGCGAGACCCTATCCTAAATGCAGTCAGGCCGAAACACTGCCTGCACCTTCCTGGTTCATTCTGCAGGCTCCTCCGTGGCCCGTCTTGTCCTGCCTGGTGTCACTGCAGTAGTGTGGCCCTTGGCAAACAGAACAGACGCGGGGGCAGCTAGGCGGGTGCTGAATGGCTCCGTCCCCCTCCTGGGGTTTGGCCAGATGACAGCAATGCCTCATCCACTTTTTGCGCACATGGCTCAGAGCCACAGAGCAGGAAATCTATAAGGAATCTTATCGTCGTGACAGGCTGCTGTCAGGGTTATTAAAACCAAGAGAGGGATGCTCTGTAGGCAGGACTGACGGTGTGCCTGGGACACCTGGCAAGCTCCCTTTCCAGGGGGACCTCCAGGGGACCTGGGGGCCAGGAAGGACGTGGAGGCCACGCCCAGGGCCAGGAGTCAGAACCGACAGGTCAGAACCCTACCTCAGGGTTCTTATCCTGCGCCCCCCACTCCTCCCTTGGGACTTGGGGTACAGTGGCAGCCAGTGGACAGGAACCAAGAAAAATCAGTTTCCTCCAGAGAGCCATTCTCATCCCACTGCTGTGGGGCCCACAGTTTGTTTCCTCAACTTACACTAGTTCCAGAAATTTTACTTTGGGGAAACTCTCACAGCTTAAACAGTTGAGGTGAATAAAGGGCAATGAGAACAGAATAGGGGTGACTCACCTGCTTTTAATAAAAGCCTGAGTCCCCAAAGGCCTGTAAACCTCCTTCAGTGACTCCATGTGGCCGTTTATTTCAGGGACAACTCATGATTACCTGGGGAGACGGGCTCACCATCCCAGTGTAGACTGATGGGTTCTGTGCCAGGCAATTAAACACTAGCCGTGAAGTCTGGAAAGGGAAGCGTGTCCTCCGTTCTGCGCCACCGAGCAGCTTCTGAACAAGCTTTCATCTGTGACTGTAATGCTTTCTTCTCCTTTGTCTTTTCATAGTCATTTGGCCCCATCTTGCTCTTTTTTATTCCTTAATGCAATTTGATATCTAAAACCAAGACCAGGACTCCAGACTCAAGCCTCCTGGTCCACCTGTCTGATGGCCATTGGATAATTAAACTAGATGTCTTTCTTGAAAGCAAGAGTTCTCGGTGTGTGTATACACACATCTGTACACATACATGTCAGCTGGCAGAGCAGCTCGCCCTGGTCTCTGAAGATTAGCTCTCCACTCATGCAGTAAACAGCAGAGAGACTGAATCCTGTGAAGGTGCAGGGCCAAAGATAACTACAGCTGCAGCTACTGTGGACATCGGTGCGCCTGGGGGTGCCGGCTGACTCTGCTCCCCATGGACGTACCTAGTCAAGACACACCTTGAGCCCAAGCCATTTAGGACTTTGGCGCTTTGAATCACACTCGGGAGACAAGGGGCAGGCAGGGCAGGTGGGAGCGTGGTGTGCCTATTCCCTGTGGCCCAAATCACTTAGCGGTTGAGCTGATTAATTCTGTATTCATGGAACACCCAAGGGCTGTCTGGGGTTAGCTGCAGACAGACCTGCATGTTGTAATGAGCCAGTGCAGCCATCCCAGGCACAGCTCCTTTGGGTAAATACCAAGGCGTGCAAAAGTTTTCTAAGAGATTTACTTTGGTTTTTGTTTGTTTTTCTTTTAATAACATTCAAAGCCTCCTTTTAGTCAGATAAAACAGTAGCTCCATGAGTCATCTTTTGCAAAGTTCTCTGGCCTTCTCTTTATAATCTAACTGTTCAGATCCCATTTACTCTTCTGCAGTTTCTCCAAGTTACCCCTTTCTCTGAACTCCCATTGTTTTTACCCCCTTACATTTATTTCGGAATATAACAGGAGGATCCATACGGATCGTCCCTGCCTCTCTCCTATTGCTAGAAAAGCCTTGTTAAACCATTGTTCTCATCAGGAGACCCATCTCTCCAAGTCCGGACACCTCCTCTGGCCTTACAGGACTTCCGTAATTCTTCTTTCGCTCTTAAACTTTGAAATTTATTTCAGAGACATCACCTAAAGGTCACTTAACCAGTCCTTTCTGGTTCATGATTTCAGGATGTTCTCTCCAAACGCCCCCTTCCTTGTACTTCCAAAGCCAAATCAGGACACAAAGCTTCATTCGATTATAGGAATTCACATTTCCATGTGCGACAGACTAACCCGGGCCAACCCAGGTGGCTCTGCAAATAGCAAGTATTGATCAAACAGATTAAGCACTGGTCCCTCCAGGTTTAACCCAGCCTCCTCCAAGGTGCCCCTTCTGCACAAGACAGAATGCAGTTGGGAAGTACCTTACATATAGGGAGACATTTGAACAAATATCCAAGTATAACTTAAATAAAGAAAACCAATACTTCAGACATGTCACATATCTCTGCACTGTCAATGTCAACCATACTGCTTATTATAATACCGGAAAAATAATTTTTCTGTAACCATGAGACTGGGGCTAACGAATTCATGGGGATTAGCAGTCATGCTACTAACAGATCTAAACGGATGACTCTTTACCAGCGGGGGGCAGAGTATTGTTTCTCAACTGTCAGCAAAGTTTATACAGAGAGGAGCTCAGAAGCAAGCAAGCCACCGTTTTAATATGTGATCAGTCGATGGGAACGTACCCTGTGGGAGTGCCATCTGGTTTCTGGTGCTCTAGCAAGTGTTGGGGTCACTAAATGAATTTCCGTGTTCCTGACAGCATCCATGTAAAGTATAATGTCAGAGCGTTGTTTCTGCACCAGCTGCTCTAGATGATTAACTGTTTCACAAACCACAGCTGTGTTGTGTTCAAACCGCACTGACTCGTCTTACTGGGTCTTTGACTTAGTTCTTAAATGTTGGGGTGTAGTAGCATTACTTCAAGAAATGGGTTTGAAAGAGTGGTTAAAATAAGCTGGAATTCCTGGCGTATATTCCTCAGTTTGTATCGTACATGATTACTGGGGTAATTAAAATTGGAAATGCACCTCTAAAATGGCTCCTGGATCACCAGTGGTCCCCCATGGCTGTCTGCATGAGGGTGGGTTCCGGTAGCAGGAGTCCCCAAGTCACCATCAAGAGACCCCTGGCTGGCTCTTGACTTTGGGCAAATCGTTTTCCAGCTTAATCACCTTTTAGGTAAAAAAAAGGCCTTATATGAAGTTTCCCAACTTCTCTGACCTGCAGTCCTAAGCGACTGGCTGGGGAAGATTGTTAAGTTTTGACAGTTAGGTTTTTTACTGCGGAGTGCATTGGAATCTTCTACGATCTACACCGATTGCAGTCGTGGAGAGAAAGGTTGCTGGTGGCGGGGATGAAGAGCGTAGGCTCCGTGGCACTCCGCACGCAGGTGGAGCCTGCTCCTGTCCTGCTGTTAACAGCATCCGCTGGGGCTTTGCGGTCCCTGCCCCTGCTGAGAGAAGGCGGACGAAGCTAAGCCTTTTCCTTCCTCCTAGGTATCATCTATCACTGTGATCTTACCAAAGAGGAGCTGGAGCCAAGGGTCTTCCGAGAGGTGACCGTGAAGGGAATTGATGCTTCCGATTACCAGACAGTCCAGGTATGAAGCATTTGATCTTGATGTTGAGAGAGTGAGAAACCTGACCTTCAGGCTGGGCCATTACCACCGCAGCTGGTCAGGAGCCGCAGAGGTAATCCACAGGAACGCAGATATTTCTGGAGCTCCTGCTGTTTTGGGCCCTGAGCCAGGCCTGGCTGGCCCTGCCCACCTGGACTTTGCAGGTTCAGCTCCCCAGAGCTGCCATGCTTGGCGGAAACCAGGGGTCTTGTCTGGGGGCCTTACTGCAGCGGCTGTCAAAGCAACACACTTTGTCTGTTTCCTTCAAAGTGGGTTGTGTTCTAGCTCAGGCCTTGCAAGGTCATAATAACAGCAGATCTGCTCTACGTAAAGTGTTTACTCCGGGGCTGTGCGTTAGTTTTCCCAGTCTGACATTCACACGTCTCTCTGCCTGGTGCATAGTGGGCACTCCATGAAATATTAGAATGAATGACAACTAGTTAATTGTCATGGCATCGCAAGCTCAGTCTGCTCACCATCCTTTCAGAATTAGAGCCTCTGTTTTTTACAGCTCCCCAAAAAATCCTGAGTCTCCCAGAAACAGATTCATTTACTGCCTGAAGAAGCAGATGTCTCTGCTCCATGGCAGTGAGAGGTCACCTGCGGGCACCGGGTGTTTATCAGGGCTTCCCGAACTGGAGGGCGGGCCCACACAGATCACGGATGAGGATTCCGAACCGTGTTTGTGAAGGAAGTTGAACAAAGAGAACTGGGTGCTGCCGAGAGTGTCTCCGTCAGACGAGGGCATTATTTTCACTCAGGGAATTACCTTCCACCTGTCTAAAAATAGTCTAGGGGATGGGCTAGACTCAGTCATAAATACATAAAGCTTTGTTTCCAAAAACCGATGGCAGGCTGGATATGATCTGGGGCTGCAGTGTGCCAACCCCTGTACCAGGAGCCAGCAAACTGACCCCGGGTTGTCTTGGAGAAGAGCTGTGCTCATTTGTTTACAGGAGGTCTGCGGCTGCTCTCATGCTTGAACCGGGTGGGTGCAACAGAGACCTACTGGCCAACAAAGCCTGAAATACTTCGTATTTGGCCCTCAAAGAAAAGGCGTGCTGACCCCCGGTCTATATACACAGTGTGTATTAAATCAGAATGTTCTCGGTAAGTGCAGAGACCTATTGTCACGAAGCTCAGACAGGCTCGAAATGTGTATATCCTTGTTGGGCAAGTCGTTTAACTTTTCTGCCTCAATTTTTTCAGCTGTTAAACAGAAATAGTATTTATTTTGCAGGATTTCTGTAGGATTACATGAGATAATATGTATTAAGTGTCTGGCTCATAACATATAAGCAGTTTTTTTTCAATCAATATTAGAAATGAATGCAACAGACGTGTAGTGTTCCACACCTGTTCTGGCACACTGGTGCTTTCATTTCCAAGGTGAGCCGTCTTCTGAAGAGATGTCTGGTAGGGCTGTAATCCCAGTCATGCTCACCTGGTTCATTAATTCACCCTAGTCCTGCATTAGAGTGTTAAAATCACCTTAGGCTGTCATTCTTTCCTGTTTATCCTTTTCTCCATGGGTAGAAAATTTGTCCCTATCAGCCGTAACATTCAGCCTCCTCAGGGCTTATGTCTGCTCCTTGCTGAGGCATCCCCAGGGCAGGTGTGTGTGCCTGTCGCTGCCTCTCGCATCAGTAATGCCAGGGATGCCGAGCAGTGCCCAGCGGCTGTTCCGTATCTCCCATAATCAGCACCCCTGCATGCAGTCAGCTTTGCAGTCTGGGGGGAAAAAGGGCACCTGCAATGACCGTAGCTGCTAGGGAGACAGCTTCTTACCAGGAAGCAGTTCTTCTCAGGGAGGACAGCTCTCCTATCAAGTAGCTTTTCTTTTCTATTCTGATAATAAATTCTGTACAGGTGATTCATAGAGAAACCAGTTAGCCGCCTACTAGGTATTGTTTCAATTCATAAATGAAAAGGTAAAACTTTACAGCTGAGCAGATGCTTGTGTGGAGTAGAATTCTCTCAGCCACATACACAGCAGCCCGAAACTCCCAGGTTACACCAGGAGAAACCTACTCAGGTAATGCCTGTTGCCTCTGTCGGTGGACAGCTCGCTGAACCCCCCTATACCTGGTTCTCCACAGAGACAAGTCCCCTGACGTTAACAACCCAATGCTTCTAGCCTTTTATTTGTGCTGCTGCAATAGCAGAAAATTAAAAAGATTCGTTTAAGTATTTGAAGAGATGGAACTGGACAGAATACACTGGTTTGTTTTTTTTTTGAGAGGGCATCTCATATTTATTGATGAAATGGTTGTTAACAACAATAAAATTCTGTATAGGGGAGTCAGTGCTCAATGCACAGTCATTAATCCACCCCAAGCCTAATTCTCGTCAGTCTCCAATCTTCTGAAGCATAACGAACAAGTTCCTACATGGTGAGTAAGTTCTTACATGGTGAACAGCACAAGGGCAGTTATCACAGAAACTTTCAGTTTTGATCACACATTATGAACTATAAACAATCAGGTCAAATATGAATATTCATTTGATTTTTATACTTGATTTATATGTGGATCCCACATTTCTCCCTTTATTATTATTATTATTTTTATTTTTAATAAAATGCTGAAGTGGTAGGTAGATGCAAGATAAAGGTAGAAAACATAGTTTAGTGTTGTAAGAGGGCAAATGTAGATGATCAGGTGTGTGCCTGTAGACTGTGTGTTAATCCAAGATAGACAAGGGCATTAAAACATCCACGGATGCAGAAGATTTCTCTCAAAACAGGGGGGGTGAGGTTCTAAGCCTCACCACTGTTGATCCCCAATTTCTCACCTGATGGCCCCCCTACACTGGTTTTATAGATGCATTGCCCCTTGTTTACCTGTTTCAGAAAACAGCAATATGCCTGTGGGCAGCGTATAGCCTCCACATGTAATGCCGGTAGGTTTTATATCTATTGATTATGCACACCATGCATATTGCACTGAGTTATTAAAACAGAATTCTTTCATTGTGTAAAAGCACCTCTGGAATGGACTGTCCCAACACCATAGACTTACATTCACTGAAAATTCATTTCGCCGTGGTTTAGAGTCAAGTGTACACAGCAGAGCTTTGACGTGAAGTGTGAGTGAGACCGACGCTCACACATTTTGATTTAGCCTGCCAGGGGCGGTGCCAGCCCTGACCCCCCCTGTTGTAAAGCAGGCTCTGGAGAGGGATTGGTGCATGAATGCACACCTCCCGACAGTGCGTAGTAGAAACCAGAGCATTTTGAGAAAGAGATACTCCATTGTTGTTTTCAGTCACTTAAGGGTAATGCCATTTTCTACTCCACTTTATGTTCATTATGTGTGTGATTTTTAAAGAGCCCTTATATATTCTATTTGTAGAATATTCTATAAATATTCTATAAAGATCCCTGGGGCTGTTTGTCATTCCTTCTTTCACTCGGGGAGGCACATTATCGTTTCGAAGCAAATCATAGAGCCCAGGTCACCCTGCGTAGTTGGTCAGCACAGCCAGTGTAAGCTGGACCAAGCCAAGGACGGAGACAGAGGTGGTCAAAGAAACACGTGGCTGAATAAGCCATGAGGGCTCTTTGTCCTTTGTGTGAGGTACTCAAGACCTGGAGCATCTTGAGTTGGGTTGAGGGGTTGGCGGTGAAGGATATGGGGTCCTATTTTGCTGAAAGACAAAAACAAATCTGTGTTCCCTCTATATAGCCTTTATCCATCCCTGTCTACAGTGGTGGGTAGAAATCTATATCAGAAATGTAATCCTCAAAATCTGATCCCTTGAAAACCGTTCCTTTTTCCTCCAACCTAGGATATATATAAGAATTTTAAATAAGTTTATCTAATCTGCAGTTTAACTAATCATTTCTTTTTTGTTCTTTTATTGTGAATGACACAACCACACGGTATGATTAGAACCTCTGTGTCCACGTCTTTAAAAAGATGTCAAAATCCTGAGCATTAGAAATCACGTTAATAACATAGTTTGCTGATAAGTGATTCCCTTGAAAAATCTGTCTGCATTGATCAACAGCAATGTGTTTCATTTTCAACAAAGCAAAGTAATAGGGAAATGGTAGTTGAATTTAGTCTGTCAGCAGATACTTACGCCATGACACTCAGTGCCAGGTGGTACTGTTTGAACCCAGAGGAATTCCAGATGTGGGCACTATCCCTGGGAAATGTCCATCTGGACTGGGAAGTGGACACATACAGGCCTGAAAGTCAGCCACCCCAAGGATGTTCTGTCCTGATTGAGGGGAGAAGGCTGTGGTCAGAGGCTGTCCTGGCTGGAGATCTTCACTGTAGAGGTGGAAATTCAGCAAGTCCTTGAGGGTCAGGCACTTTGATCATTCCCAGCTCCCCACCAAGACCCCTGAACGATTTTGCCAGCACCCTTCCATCCGAAACGGCCGCTGCCTTTTCTTGGCAGTGTAATCCCATAACTTCTCAGCAAACCCAGGCAGGAGGGAATCACGCCCTCGGCGTCCTGTGCAGCAGGGTTACCGCTGGTGGATGTCCCTTGCAGATGGAGCACTGTTCGCACTGCGGTCGAGCGCGGCACGACAAAACAGGGCGCTTTAGCAAAAAGGCACTGTTTAGTTTCTTGACATCTCATTTTTGTTCAGCCAGCTGAGAGGTCGGCTCTTCTTCTCTCAAAAGGAAATTTATAGACCCGAAAAAGAACAGTGAACGAATGTACTGTGAATAGACTGAACAATTTCCACATTTTATAAAAGACAGTAAACTGGAAGGAAGATCCAATTTTAGGGGGTGAAAGCAAGCTTCAATCGATAGAGTACAAAAATGGTAAGAATTATAAATATTTAATACAGATTTCATTACCTTGATTCTTGCTCTCTTGTTAGGAATTTTATTTTTCTGATGTTTACCTACAGTAATGCACCAGGAACATCCCTGGGGTGGTTTGCTGTATAACTGAACAGAAGTGTTAAAATCAGGTGATTCTTTGAGTTTACCAGGATGCCTTAGAGTGGAAGGGGTGGGAATTTTTTTCTTTAATTGTGTGTATTTTTCTAACCTGGGTGACAGGTAACTCATTTCTGGTTGCTAGCGTACAAGTTCTGCCATTCAGAGCACGTGGCTCTGGGAACACTCGTTAGCGTTTTAATACTCCTAACTTCCGTGCTGAGCACGCGGCACGTGCCAGTTTTGAATATTGACCCGTCGATCATCTGGTTGAGTGACAGCTCACCTAATGATACTGTTTTTCGATCACACTGTGTTCTCACAGTTAGGTATAGGCCAGGCATCTTCAGAACATGTTAGCAAAGGGAGGAGTGTTTTCAAAAAGAACTTCTGAAGGGGTCATGCTCACCCATGAGGAAGAAACTGCTTGAAATCGAATCCGTCAGTTGTCTTGATCATTCATTGCCTAAGCGTTCATGTTATTTTTGATATTATGCTTCACGGTGACAGAATCCTACCCTTCTTTAGAATTCTCTTTGTCATGCAGATATTCTAGGTTGAAGGCGTACTGTTCAAAGGGCCTCTATGTCTCTTTCTCCTTTAGAGTCAGCTGTGTTAAAATAACTTGACTGTAAAAGATGGTGAGAAAGAGTCTTTGTTTTTTTGCTATCTTATAATGGAGAAACAAGCTCTGGGACCCAAGTGTGTACTTACAGCTGCGTCCATACTGCTGTAAATAAATCCTCTCCCATGCTGTAAAAAAGGACATTACTTTGCAGCAACCTGAGAATATGCAACACAAGTCCAGTAAAAATCCCAAGGTGCCCTTGAGAGTTGAACAAGCAGCCCCATGGGTTGGCTCTGCTGGAGGACGGGTTCCGGCATCACCGGCATTTGCTCAGCTTACGTTGCCGAAGTGTCAATGAGGTAAAGAGGTGTTGCTTTGATTTGAAGGCTTAAATTCACTTCCAGAAGGCCGACTAGGCTTCTCATTCTTCAGCGCTGCTGTGTTATAGGCTATAACTGTCAGGCCAGGCTGCACAGACACTCATCTCCCCAGGTGACAGCTGTAGCCCTGGAGGCTTGTTCGACCTTAGTATGTGCAAGAGTTAATATTTCCGGTATCTACAGCGAGTACTGGGTTTTCTCTTACATTAAATAAAGCCACTTACATAGGTTCCAATTTGTGCACATTGTTCTGGGCCGTGGCTTTTGAGATCCTTGGAAGTTGCAGGTTGCTGAACGTTGCTGCTGTTGAGGCGGGTAGATTTCAGGTTACCCACAGCTAACAACCAGCTCTAGCCCCTTGCTGGAAAATTCTTCATGGAAAAGAATATTATACATCATTGTCCCATAAGAACAAGAGAATTGCTCACTCTACTAGAACTGAAGCAGTTAACAGTATCATCTGTGATTAGTAAGTGTGCTAATGGTATTTGTCTTTTGCCACTTGAATAATTATTTCTGTTTTTAATAATGAATCTCAATCGTAGGAATCTCAGGATTAGATTCAGCTGTGGGCAACAGGAAACAATCAAAATAGCCATGGCTTAAAGAAGAGAGATGTTTATTTCTGTCTCACATAGAAGCAGCGCAGGGGGAGCAGTCCAGGGCCTCCTTGACGTCCCAGGTCCCAGACGTAAGGAACCCAAGCACCTCCTGCCCCGGCGGCTTCATCACTCCCGGCTTCTGCTCCCAGCGCCTCCTCGTGGTCCTGGAAGGCTTCTGGAGTTCCCGCAGTGTTATATCCGCTTCCCAGCCAGCGGGAGAGCAGCCCTGGGGGGGCAGGGGGAAGAGGCGGGGAAGGTGCCTGCCAGCAGCTCAGAGGATGTTGGCTGGAAGGTGACGCACATATGTCCGTTTTCATCTTATTGGCAGTCATGTCGTCACGTGGCCACAACTAGGGCCCTGAGGTATAGAGCTGCAGTTTTACTCCCAGCCAAAAAAAATGTGCCCAGCTAAAAACTGGGGACTTATTATCTAGGAAACCGGGTGAATAGATACTGGGGGATAAATGGCAATGAGCTGCAGGAGGCAAAACAGACCTTCAGCAAAAATAAGTTGGTGTGGATCCTGAGACTGAGGAACACGCGCCACCTGGAAACTGGGTGCCCATCTCAGGTTGGAAAAAATGAAGACTTCGAAGAAGTTAAATATTCAAATATTACAATTGTGGAGCAGAAATCACACACTAACAGGAGAGAAGCACCTTTTTTTTTTAAGGTATCACTGATAGACACTTTTATGAAGGTTTCACATGAAAAACATTGTGGTTACTACATTCACCCATATTATCAAGTCCCCCCCACATGCCCCATTGCAGGCACTGCCCTGATATCAGCGTAAGATGCCACAGAGTCACTACTTGTCTTCTCTGTGCTACATTGTGGAGAAGCACCTTTTAAAGAGGCTCTTCTCCCATGAAGAAAGACACTTAATATTGCTTCTAGAACACATACGTGTATATGTTATTCTGATTGAATATATGTTAAGGTATACGTAGTTGAGCCCTCCCATTTTTAAATTGAGGAAACTACGAACTAATGTATGTGTTTTAACAAAGGTCACAATAAGTGACAGACAAGACTAGCATGCAGAGCTCCAGAGCTAATAATCCCGCACGTTTTGTCACCGGCCTGAGTTACCTGCATTCCGTATGGCTCAGTCGCTGTCATTTCTACCTCTAAAATAAGCTAGACCTAAAAGGCCTCTAACCCCCTAAGCTCCCTTACCTCTGAAAGTATATTTTACATCATGTATCTAGTGAGTGCTGTTAAGACTCTTATGGAATCTGTCAGACAAAAAAAAATACTGCCTGTGAAAGGGAAGACAATAAGAGCACCTAAGTTCATTTTTTAATGATTTATAAAAATTATGACTTATTTTGGTGTTACATCTAGTCTCCTTATTACACATTCATGAGCTTCTTATTGCCTATCCATATACTTATATAATATGTATATTACGCACACACATATACATTCATTTATATCTTAATCTGAGGAGTTTTATTTAAGGCTTAAATGTTGGTCACCATGTGGCAGCTTGGAACTACATTTGAAGTATGTTCAGAAGCGAAATAAACTTAAGTATTTGTGTTTTTAGCTCTTGCCATCTTATGTCTGCTGGGTTTCCCCAAGATCTTTCTCAGGGGTTGGCAGTAATGCCAATAATGGCATCAGGTTGCTTCTAACTCGAATTCAGAAGAGGATTCACAGATTTATTTTGGAAGCAGTAACCCAAGATATTTGCTTCTTGTAAAGTAAACTTGGGAAGCCGCTTCTGTGTCCAAAGCAGGTGACCTTTTTGGCTGCTTTTTCCTAGAGGAGGCCACACATTCCAGCGTCTGTCCTCGTGTTTCCACCTTCTTACTAGAAGTTAGACAAAGACTTAATAGAAGAGGGGGGTGACTAGAAACAGGAATCCGATCATTTTTTAGATTTTCTCTGCGTGGAGAAGGCTCAGCAGGAGAAAGTTGGGGCTGACCTTTCTCCTCTTTTCCGTGATAGTATCACTCCTAAGCCCAGGGCCCATCTTTTCTAGGTGGCCAACTCGACAAGTGTTTGCTGGCTGCTTGCTCTACTCTGTCTTTTAGGGCAAAAGGAAGCTGGAGCGCGTAGGAGCTTAGCGCGGGCATTCTACCTGCTATGCGGTTTCTTCCCTCCCCTGCCCTCGCCCTGGAGTTATAAGGATGGTCGATGGATGGTGAATTGAGTAAAAATAGACCCAGCCGTGCAGATATTCCGTTATCTCCTTGAAGGAAAAACCATTCTGAGCCTAACTTCATTGGCCTGTCGGGAAGGGAGGGAAGATTGTCCATTTCCATAAGTATAATCTTTTGATTTGGATCCTGACCCGATCATTCTCTCTCCACTCCCAGTGCTGACGAAAGGTAAGAGGTAGATTAGAAATGTCATAACAGGGATGACATGATGGGAGCACAGTGGGACATGGAAGGCATTGTGAGGGGTTGTCTGTGTCGAGTGGGAGCCCCTCTACCCACCTCTCTGTGTTCTTCAGCCCTGCAAAGGTGCCGCCTCCCTGCCCCGAGGCCCCAACTGCGCTCACCTCCCTGACCCAGCCCTTGACCCCTGCCCCTCCTCCCTCCGCTCTCTGGCCTGGTTCTACTCATTTTCTTTACTCCATTTTGTGAAATTCTACACATTTCTCAGTGTTCAGCCTAGTCCCAGCTCCTCGGGAGAAGCTTCTCTCATTTCTGCCCTTGGGAACTCAATCTAAAGCAAGAAAAGAGGGAAAAGGGTATATTCCTCTGCTGCTTGAACACAGCACGGACGTGTGTACACAGCACGGCAGCCCCACGCCATGTCCTCTGGGCACCATCTCCCTGCTTCAGAGAAGACCCGCCCTCTGAGGTCAGCACTTTCATAAGTAATTTTCTAGATGAAGGGCCCGCAGTGTAGGGAGCTGGCTGGTTTGTCCCTGTCACAGTGGTATAACTGGCACTTACGCCCTGGTCTCCAACTCTGTGGTGTCCCCAGCATGGTGTGGTGCCACTGGCCCTGAGAAGCAGAGCTGCCCTCTCTGGTCAGGCTGTCACAGTTCAACAGTTGAGCCGCCCTGATGTGGGTAGTTCTGGGACTTCATCTAGAAATGGATAAAAAAAACATTGTGGTTTTATTGAGACCTTAGAGAAAACTTCATTGTTTACCTTGGTTAATGTCCCAAAAGAAATAAAGTTAAATCTTCTACTCAGGCTGTATTGATGACTGCAGTCCATATTCTTATGCATTTACAATCTGCTTATTGGTTCTGTTAAGTTAAGTAATAGATGAAGCTTATGTCCTGCCTGCATCCGGGTGTGTTCATTTGTATGCACATGCAGGTACATGGGTAGAAAAAATATCAGTATGCATGCAAACATGTTTGTAAGGAAGGATATGCTCTTGGGTCCCAATTAAAGTAGTAGGCGATTCTGAAACTGAAGCTCAACCAGAAAGCCACTTAGCGTCGTGCAAGGAGAAATTGTTATATATGTGCCACCTACATCCATGTTTTGCATAGGATGTATCTAGTTCCGTGCCAGACTTTAATGTGCACAGAGCTGATTTAAATATTTAAGGAAGACAAGAGAAAAATATAAATACTCTAACCTCAGGCTGGTGAGTTGCTTGAGAATCTGCAGATTTGACTGTCAGAAGCTCTAACTTGAAACCATTGCTCAGAATCTTCCGAGATAAAGGACAGAGGAATGGGGTGGGGTGTTCTGGAGCCACCTGTGCTCACCCATCAAGACCTCACACCTCTTTCCAGTCCCCATAGGCCTGCCAGTGGGTCTCTGCCTCGCCTGCCACCAGAGGTGGCCGTCAGCACTGCTGGGTGGGTTCCGGATGGGGAAGAAGCGCCGTCCTTCAGCCAGTCTGCCTTTGTTAGGAATCCACTCCGTACCAAGCGTTGTGCTAAACACTAGGAAGGCCGCAGTGACCTGGAGACACCTGGCCTTCCTTCACCCAATGCGAAGAACGGGCAAAGGGCAAGTGGACAGAGGAGAAAGGTGAGCTGTGCAGCTCAGGGGAAGGGCTGGGAATGGAATAAACGAGGACAGTAGCCAGTGAACGGTGCGGCCCGGTGTGAGTTGCGTCGCCAAGGAAAGTGGCCTTGAGATTTCCTGTAAGTGGAAACAGCGGCTGAGAGGGAAGTCCCTGGAAAGTGGGAAGAACAGTCTCGAATGTTGGAGCAAAGGCCCAAAGGACCGAGCCCCTGGCCTCAGAGACGGTCTGCGAGAAGGCCGGGCTGTGGGGAGCCAGGAACAAACGGGTCTCAAGGGAGTGGGGGAGGCCTCATGGCCATGTTAGGGGTTTGTTAGGGATCCCAGGTGTGGTGGGGGTCTCCGGGTGTTCCTGGAAAGGAACGTTTTCTGATTTAAGACACCACCTTCTGTTTTGTGGGGAACGGATGGAAGGGGTGGATGTGGTGCAGAGAGAGTGGACAGACGTCCATAGCAGCAGACCAGGTGAGAGGGCGGGGGGCTGGACTGAGGCGGAGGCAGTGGGCACGGGGAGGAGCGGGTTTGGGAGGCAGACTCAATGGGACGCACCGAGCGACCCCCGTGGAGGGGAAACGGGCACGTCGCGGTGGCCGAGCCCTCGGGTCTGAGCGGTTGGCACCAGGCTTTGGGTGTTGGCCGCGGGGCAGGGAGGTCGGATTGGGGAGTTACAGTGTTTGGGGGCACGTCAGGTTTGTGGGGCGTGTTAAATTAGCAGCCGGATGACGATGTTAAGTGTGGAGCTGGATATTTGAGTCTTGTGCTCACAGGAGGGATCTGAGTGGAGTCACCCGCACACGTGTGTCACTTAAATCCAGGGGCGAGGGCAGAATCCCAAGCGGCGGGCATGTAAAGAGTGAGGAAGGTTCAGGACCGAGGCCCGGGGAGCCCCGGGGTCAACAGGAGCCCGAGGGCCGGAGGTGCGCAGCCCCGGGGACGCGGTGCCCCTGGACACCAAGGACGGGGCGTCAGAAGGAGCGGGAGGCGGCGGCGCAGGGGGCCTGGCTGCTGAGTGCGGGAGGGAGGAGGGCGCGCGGGCGCTGCAGACAAGAACACTGGGTGCTCGGAGGGGCAGGCCGCGGCCTGCGCGGGGTGCCATGGGGGGCAGATCGCGGCCTGAACGGGGTGCCGTGGAGGGCACAGGGGGGCAGACCGCGGCCTGAGCAAGGTGCTGTGGGCGGCACGGAGGAGGCGGGCGCGGGCTCGGCCTCACGGGGGTGGGGGGCGCGAGGGAGGGACTCGCATTATCGTCCTCGTTACTGCAGCCTGGTATTAATGCTGGCAACTGGAAAATCTTACACTTTAAAACTTAAAAAAAAAAAAATTTAAGGCAAAACAATCCTTGACAGGCCGACTGCACACCTCTGGACTTCTCACCGCTGTGGTTTCTCTCTGCCTCCTTCTCCAGATTACTTTGCAAATTGGTCATTTTCCTCCCATAGAAGAACTTGTACAGCCGTGCTAAGAAAACAAGTCAATCAAAAAAAGCCAAATTTTAATCTCAGGAAACGTTGCACAGCTGGAGCCTTCCTGAGCTCTGGTGCCTGTAAGGTCAGGATCGGGTGTGAGAGGTGAGGGAAATGGAGAACCTTGTGTGCACAGGTGTAGTTGCACGGAGTGTGCGAGCTGGCAGTCAAGGGCACGACTCCCTGGTGGTGGAGAACCCGGGTGACCCCAGTGTGTTGGCGGGCTGGTCCCGGGAGGAGGGGGGCCGGCAGAGGAGCTGAGTTCCTTGAGAAGCTGGGGGGATCCGCGCCTGGGAGGAGGGACGTCTCCGTTCTGCTGGGACTGGGAAAGCACACGCCTGCGAGCCCCAGAAATGCAACTCCAAGGACCAGCCCCTTGCTTTCCCTGTGAGACCTCTTAGGCCCTGAATTCTCCGTCTTATTACCTTTTGGGGGTTTTTTTAAAAAAATTTTGAGTTTTGAGTGAAAATCAGAAAGTAGTTTTGAAATTTCAAAATATGTACTTTCTTTTTGTTAAATACTCAGGATAGGAGTGGGAAGACCCTCAAATCCTGAGCATTAGCATCTTCTCCTTATGAATGGGTTCCTTCCTGGCTGCCAGTTGAAATAGGCTGGGCCGTTGCAGCTAAGAAGCACCTCCAAACGTCAGGGGCTTGCGTCAGAAAGGTTCCCTGTCTCCTTCTCACAGTCCGGACGTCAGCCCGGGTTCCCTGCCCACCCTGCAGGGGCCGTCCTCCGTGCTGTGCAAGGAGGGAATGGCACAGCTGGCACTCACCCTGCCCATCCCACCTGCCCCTCCCAGAGAAGGCAGCGGAGGCTCGGCGGAGTTTGTGTCCTGAGCACACCGTCAAGCATTGTCTGCACCCTGCTTGACCCGGTGGAAGCCTACACAGCAGGCCAGCTGAGCTGCGTCGCCTGAGTTGCCGATACCTGCAGATTGATCTGTGCAGCCCCATCTTACAGGCCTGCCTCCTACAGGGTTGTTTGGGGTTCTGCCCTTAGCTCTTGGGCCTCCCTTACTGCTCTGTGGACTCCTTTGGATTCAGGACCTTGGACTGGGCCCCCTGGTCCTCAGATGCCTACCATGTGAGGCGGGCAGGGAGGGGAGAGGCAGGGAGCAGCTCAGGGGCTTGCTGGCCACCAGTGGCCTCTGGGCTACATCACGGTGCAGCCAGGCACTGGCCCTGTCTTCCTTCTCCCTACCCCTTCCATCCACTCCAGCACCTCCTTGCCACACCCCCTTCAGGTCACCTGCTGCCCCCCCGACCCCACCCTCTGAGCAGAGCCCTTACCCCAGAGCTGCAGGCTGGCCCAGGCTCCCGGCTGACGGCAGGCTCCAGGTGTGGTGCCCTCTACCCCATTGCCACCAACGGGGTACTCTTTCATCAGTGGAAAAATGTACGGGTAATCCAGCCAAACCCTCTCCTTGGGGTGACCTCTGGAAATCTCAGCCTTCATAAACCTGCTGCCCCCACAGTAGGGAGCCTCTGGTGATGTCAGTTTGGGTGAGTGATTCGTGTTATTCGTGATACATTAGGGGTGAGACATCCTGGCTGGGGTCAGTGTGAGCAGGCAGGCAAACAGTTCTGAGGTCAGTGGTCCGAAGCAAGTGGCTATTTGCTAATGTTTCACAGGATAATGTGGCTTCTTAATAAGCAGCATGTCCCTTAGGATTCTATTTGTCTGCTAGTCTGGCCAGCCGTAATGCCCCCAGGCCCCCACTGTCAGTCCGCTCAGCGGCGGTCCCGCCTGCCTCCTGGTTAGCTGCAAGGTGCACGCTCACTGCCCCAGCACCCCCGGCCCCCCCGCTTTCCTCCTCTGCCTGGAATGCTCACCCACTCCTGACCGCTCCTTCCCTTACTTCCACTGTACCAACCAGAGGCCCTCCCCTCTCCATCCTGTGTAAGGTAGCATCCCTTGCCCACCCCTTCCTAGGGCTCAGCTTTATTGTTTCCTTTTGTTTCCTATTGTTACACTTACTACCAGCTGACAGATTTTCATTTGTCTATGCTCCTCTGCTCTCCCTTCTCCCTTTACAAGTGGTTTGGCCACTGCTGTGTCCCCAGAGCACAGAGCAGACACACAGACACTTGACGAATGAATGAGCGAGGCCATGATAGATGATGCACTCTGAAATATCTAGCTGTCACTGCCAGAAACCTATAAAAATGGAACATTTCCTTTCTGCAAAAGTCTGTCGGACCATCTCCCTCTCCTCTCTTACAGTAATTGCTTCTTTCCTTTCAAAACCAACAGAAAATGGATGTTTACTACCATTTGTATTCCTGTGGAATTTTTTACGTGATCTCATCTTTAAGAGTATTTGGGTCATAGTCTGTGACCACAACAGGGACTAATACTGCTCTTTGCTTTTAGAGCATCCGAGTTCATTTCTCTTTATGTTTTCCTAGCACGTATTTTGGTGGTGATGTTGCCTGCTTACAAATGTTTGGGAATCTCTTCGACAAGCTGAGCAATAAGGAAAACAATTCTACTAACGTGGAAATCCAATTGACCCATTCTTTATGTGTTTTGAGAGTTTGTGATTATTACTCTGGCTTTTTTTAATTACTTTTTTCAGCCTTTGGAAGTTTAATTTCTCCCTTTGGCTTTTAGGTTTTCTAACATGTTTTCTA